TTTCAATGGTAATCTCGGCAGGGTTAGATCGAAAAATATTGGACAGAAAGAATTATCAGGTGATCCATTACCAAGCAATGAAATATCTCTGACTGATGTTGAAGTAGATGGCCAGGGATCTTCCTCCACAGAAGAAGATGAATTAAGTCCATTAGTTGATAACAAGTTAAATGGAATGAATGGCAGTCAAATTAAAACTAATAAAGAAACTCCAAATAGCTCGCAGGAAGATTGTCTCCTAGATGAACTTTCAAAATCAGATGCAGTTAAGATTCGTTTGAAGGTTTTAGATAATCAGCATTATGAATTTAATATTCAAGGGCCAGGAGGGCTTTTTGATATACTGGAGAAAATCTACCATTACTCAGGCATGGATGATGTGAAGAGTTTGGATGTTGAAAATGAGTTTTCTAAGGTAGAAGACAGTCAAAATAGAAGAGAACATAGAGAGGACAAATTTCATTCTGGGTATTTCTTAATACCTAATGAAAGACAACTGTTAACACATGAGAATGAGGGTGATGTTTATGAGGCAGCTAGTAGTAACCTAAATTATGCAAGAATTCAAAATTCTAACCAAAATATTCACAATGTAGATCCTACATCAGATCTTGAAAAAGAACCAAGTGCAGAGGGTAGATCACAAGATGTATCTTCTGCAGAATTTTCTGATGGAATTAAAGCAATAAGCCAGCTTGGTTTGCCTCACTCTGTTAGGAATATTGCATCTGCAAGCCCTGCAGCAGTTGTCAATATACCAAATTTTCAAACTGCTGGTAGCACGACAGAGTTGACACCAGATCAGGGTGTAGAAGCATTCCATATAGATAAAATAGCTGAAGATGAGATGAAATCACAAGAAAATTATGAAGTAGTTACTTTGACAGAATCAGGGTTACCTCTTGAAAATACTACATGGAATCCAGTTAATAGAAGCTAAAATCAAAGAGACTGGTGCAGTATTTGTTTGAAAATAGAGAATATGAGAAGGAGCCAGTATCTCCTGTTTGAGAGACTGTGGTATTGGGAAATAGAGCAATTTTTCACTAATAGGAGCAATCGCAGACTGTGTGTTGAGTAATAGGGCTTCTAGTGCAAAGTTGAAGTTATAGTGAAAGAATTTTGTCCAAAATCTGGAGAGAGATGATACTTAAGATTTTTTTTCATGTTATCTTAAACCACTTATTTTTTTTTTAAACATACCTAAGAAAGTCAGTTGCATTAAGATATGCAGAAATTTCAGATCAGAATTGAAAGTATTTTACTGTACTGGGGTAGGTTTTATGGTGGATAGTTGAGAATATATTATATAGATATATAGGTTAGAGGTGATATATTGTAGTTTTGAATTAAGGCAGGTAGTTTGTATTATCACAATCAATATTTTATTTTAATGTATTATTTTATTATTGATTTTGTTGTTATAAAGTTTTATGTTTTAGGGTGTCAAGCTGTATAGGGTATAGAAATTAGATATGAAAGAGAGCGTAGACATTTTTCAAATATGAAACTGGATTTATGATTAATTTGAGTATATCCATATTTCTGATTTGTCTGCAAGGGAACAACAACATTCAAGGAAAATGTCAAAGCAGTAATGAATGTCATTATTCTTATTATTACTAACCCTATAGTAGTTTTTAGAAGCCTTACATTCCTTTAGTTGCTTAATTGTGTTAATTTTAGCGGTATACTGATTTCTGCAAGTGAAACAGACCTGCGCTTCTTCTGTTTCCTTTTTCTTTTCGCCATGATTATAAAGTTGAGTGAATTGCAGTGCAGTGACATATAAACATATGTGTGTAAGTGCTGATTTGGCGAGGAAGATGACTCCCACACAGTTTTCTCTTGATGTTGGACATTGTTGGTGTTGGTGGTGTTAACTCAGAAGGAACAGTTAGTGAGGAAAAGTGGCTTCATGTGAAAGTGTGTGTGGGTTTTATTCCGGGAAAAGTCGATTTTGGTTTGAAATACGAAATCGTTTGTGATGGTGGATTTGCCTGGTCTTCAGTGCCCTTTTTCCGTTGAAGTTGGGCAGAAGAGGTGGTATTTGCAGAACATTATCTTGACTTTTTTTTAATGGCACAAAGCTAATGGGACAAATTTGTCAGGCATAACACCGTATTCTGTGCAGTAACTCTGCAATAAGAGTTGTCTGTCATTTTTCATGTTCTTGTGTATTTTTAGATCATAGCATGAAAATGTATGTTGGGAAAAGGGGAAAGCCATACCATTATAGTTGAGAGACAGCAGGATTAAAACAAACATTATTAAAAAGTTTGCAAGAAAGGAGTATGTAATAGGTATTAGATAGAGCTAGTTAGTCTAACAGATTACTCATAATTTTTTATGCTTTCTTGACAGAAAGAAAAATTATTGTTAGTTGCTTATGCTATACCTACCACATCTCCTTTATTGATTAATATATTATATGTTTACTAATCGTAATTTTAAATATTTATATATGGATGTTATATCTATATGTATCTCTGTCAGTCCTTATATATAATCAGTAGTGAGTTAATATATGAAGAAAATTATATGAAACAATTAGTCAAAAAGCCCTTATATTAAAATACATAGTGTCAAACAAAATTATCTTTATTATTTCTAGCTGAATGCTCATACAGTAAAACTTGGAAATTGCATGCAGATATCTAGCATGTAGAAGTTTTAAACTATTAGTAGGAGAAACTCGATGATGCCAGTGAATGGTTATATGAATTCAGAACTTAAATTAAAAAGAAAATATAATTCTGTAATGATGTAGAAATCTTCTTTAATAGTTTCGAACATGGTAACATTTCTTTTGTGCTTTAGTTCTGTATATAAGCAATGGGGGACAAAAGTAAATCTTTTACCATAAAATTAATCTAGATTTAAATGCATTTCGGCATAACCCAAATGAGATCATCAAATAGTTAAGAAGATTAGAAGAAAGGGAGACATGAATTTGACCAGCTAATTATCTATTGAATATTACTATAAAATATCACTCCAAACTATGACATTAGCTGAGTACATCCTCCTGTTACATTCTATGCATGTGAAATGAGAGAAGGGAATGTCAAGCAAGATCAGCTAAGAACAGTTTGCCGTATGGACATCTAAGGTTAAGTTTTACGGGAGGTTTATGAAGCACACAGGCAACTCAAAAAAGAGGTTGGATAGTCTGTCACTGATACTGAGGGGCAAGGTCAGTGAATGAGAAAAAGACTTTCATGGTATTTTTATTTAGTTTATTTAGATGGCTTAAGTACGTTGATCTCAGTGGAAAAACTGTGACCAGATTCACACACAAATATACCAATCAGATGTCAGATATTACATATTTTGAAATATTTACAAAGGCAGACTTAACACTTACATTTATACATTACAAAATGACAAAGATAAAAAAACAATGCATTTTTATCATGTGGCCTTGAAAGATAATGAAAGATAAAAAAATAAATAATATATATATATATATATATATATATATATATATATATATATATATATATATATATATATATATATATATATATATATATATATATATATATATATATGAGTATTTGAGTTGAAAGGCTTTCA